GGTCCCTTCCGACCCTTAATCTATGAATCTATGAAAAAGTTGGTGGTGGGATCCAGGTTATATGTCTGCTCCAGGAGCAACTCTAGCTGCCAGCTACTGACACAGCTCCAATCCCTGCTCTTCATCAACTCGTCGAGAAGTAGGGCTGGAAGGGAAGGGACTTCCAGAAGTCACCTAGGCCAACCTTCTGCCTGAGGCAGGATCATCCCCATCCAAACCACCCTATAAAAATCCACTGTCTAATTTCTTAGCAAAACTAAGCAGCCAACCCTGGCACAACACAAGACACTCCCCAGGTTACCAGTGCTTCCCCTACAATAGAGAACAGCCTGATGGGGCTGCCCCTTCCTGCCCTGTCCTCATGGAAGAACAGCACCAGCCCCATTTTGCCATCCTTGGGGGCACTGCAGAAAGGCCAAGGTTTCCCCCCAATTCCCCTGATGCAGAGGCTGTTGGGAAGGGCAAAGACCCCACACCATCCTCCGAGTGTTGCAGGAAGACTTTTTTTTTAAAGAAATGTTTCGTGTTCCAAACCAAATCAAGTCCAAATCCCAGAGTCAGTCCAGAACCATAAATGGCCCGACCGACAAACATCCTCCACCCCCCCAGGGGCTTCGGCTGTTTCCAGCATCTTTTGGCAGGCGTCCTACATGCAGCCACGTGGCCGCAGGAGCGAGCTGGGGAGCAGCCTCCCGCTTCCCTAACGGGGGCGTCAGGCCGCAGCACCTCGGCGGCTGCAAAACCGACCCGCGGAGCCGTTAGGAAGCTGGTGTCCTGCCTTGGTGGACCCAGGGAAGGCGGGCTGCAGGGAGATGCCACCGGGGGCCTGGGATGGCAGAGATGCCCTGATGCCAGCCCAGGGGGTTTGGGACCCAGAGCTCGGAGGACAGACCCCGCTTCTGCCGGGGGCGGGGCACCCACGTGGCCCCTGCCCCTCCGGAGCTGAGCCGGGGCGGCTCGGGGCACCCATTCATACTTAGGGCGGCGGCGGCGGCGGTGGCGTCACGGGGGGTGCGACCAATGGCGTGGCAGAGCCAGTCAGGTGATGTCGCGCGTTAAAGCCGGGGCCGGCGGCGGCTGCGGCCGTTGGGCGCAGCGCGCAGCGCGGGGTGGCGGCCG